TTTGAATCCTACCATTCTCTTTCTTAGATGTGTAAGTATGTAGCAGCTACTTAACCTCTCTGTGCCTTAGCTTCCTGATACATAAAATGAGAAAACTAATAGTATCTTACCTCATCCAAGGGTTATTGTGGGGATTAAAAATAACATAATAAATGTAAAGGGTGTAACTTGGTATCTGGCAAGTATTGAGTGAAAAATAAGTTTTTATTTTAATTAATTGTATTACTTTTCTATTGTGATTAAATAGCAAACATCCCTTATTTTCCATGTCTTTTCCTTCTTGAAAGCATTTGGTTATCTCCACTTAAAACATTCCCACTTAAAATTCTAAGCCAATCACTAAATAGCAAAGAAAGGTTACAGGACTAGAGAAAAAAAAGTTATGAATGATATATGCTTGGCATTATAAACTACTACTATTGTTGGTATTCACTACAGGGTACAAATAAATTAGTTTCAATTTGCTGTTATATTTAACACACTTATCAGGTCTTTTGACTTTTGAATCTAGCATCATGATAGATGCTTTCTCAATCAGGATATGAAAATTCATGTCTGGTAATAATTTACAGCATCATTGCCAAGACTGAAATATAGAAAGCATTCATTGTCTTACCTGCCTTCCTCCTGCCTTTGAAGCTCTCTGATTGAGCCTTTTCTGTTCTCAGCTATTTGGGACCAAGATATATAGTTGATATTGTTTTCTTTTCTTTCCTTCTATTTAAATCCTTAGAGAAAGTGCACAAAACAAAAAAATACAATGATTTATCATACATTCTTATGTAACTATTATGTAGGACAAAATGTAAAACATTGCCAAATTTCCAGATGGGTCTTCTTGTAATTCCTTCCATTTACCTGCAGAATGAACCACTGTCCTGATGCTCAGGCTAATTACATTCTAGCTTTTTATTTATTTATTTAGAGATGGAGTCTCACTCTGTCACCCAGGCTGGAGTGCAGTGGCATGATATCAGCTCACTGCAGCCTCCACTTCCTGGGCTCAAGTGATTTTTATGCCTCAGACTCCTGAGTAGCTGGGATTACAAGTGCCCACCACCATGCCTGGCTAATTTTTGTATTATTTGTAGAGGCATGGTTTTGTCATGTTATCCAGGCTGGTCTCAAACTCCTGACCTCAGGTGATCCGCCCACCTTGGCCTCCCAAAGTGCTGGGATTACAGGTGTGAGCCACCGTGCCTGGCCACCTTCTAGCTTTTAAAAATAATTTTATCACTAAGTGTGTTTAGTTTTGTCCGTTTTTGGATTTTGCATGAATTTAATGATTTTTCATTATGAATGAATTTTGCATATAATTCTCCACCCAACATATTGTTGGATTGATCTATGATGATACTGCATGTAGCAGCAATTCATTTATTTTCATTGTTGTATAGTATTTTGTTGTATGAATATACAATTTATTCTATATTTGGACATTTGGTTTTTTTCTAGTTTGGGGCTATTATAAATAGTGTTGTTATGAACACTCTAATACACATAAGCATGCATTTCTGTAAAACACACCTAAGCGTAGAATTACTAGGTCATGGAGAAAGCAATCTTGAATTTTCTTATGCAATGCCAAACTTTTCAAAGTGGTTCTACCATTTGTTTCCACCAGTGGTGTTTGAGAGTTTCCACTGACCATGTCCATGCATCCTCAACCAAAAAAAAAAAAAAGCCAGTTAGTGATTCTGGTAGGCGTATAATGATTTTTTTTTTGGCTGAGAAAAATTCAGTAAGAATTGTCTGAAAATGTGAAAGTGAAGCCTTTGGGTTTTTTCTTTCTTTCTTTCTTTTTTTTTAAGAGATAGAGTGTCATTCTGTCACCTAGGCTGGAGTGTAGTGGTGCAATCATGGCTCACTGCAGCCTTAAACTCCTGAGTTCAAGCGATTCTCCCACATCAGCCTCCCAAGAAGCTGGAACTTTAGGTTTGCACTACCACACTCTGCTAACTTTTTAAATTTTTTGTTGAGCTGGAGTCTCTCTGTTTCCCAGGCTGATCTTGAACTCCAGGAGCTCAAGCGATCCTCCCGCTTCAGCCTCCAAAAGTGGTGATCCTATAGACGTGAGCTATTGCCTCTGGCTGCCTTTTGTTTTCAGTTTTCCATGCTGTTACTGTCTTTCATTACCACAGTCAAGATGATAATACTTTTTGTTTTGTTTTGTTTTGAGACAGAGCCTTGCTCTGTCACCCCGGCTGGAATACAGTGGTACAATCTTGGCTCACTGCATTCCTGCCTCCCAGGCTCAAGCATTCCTTCCACCTTCTCTCCCAAGTAGCTGAGACTACAGATGTGTGCCACTGTGCCAGCTAACTTTATATAAAGACAGGGTTTTGCCGTATTTCCCAGGCTGACTTTGAACTCCTGGGCTTAAGAGATTCACCTGCTTCAGCCTCCCAAAGTGCTGGAATTACAGGTGTGAACTGCTGTGCCCAGCCAAGAGTCGATAATACTTTTAAGAAAGAGTATTTTAAACTTGAATTGGATGCATGAAAGCAGTTAGTTTGGGATATTGCCCAAGATTCTTTTTTTATACTTTTTATTATCATATCTAAAAAACAGATGTATTGTTTATCTTTATAATTATTTAGCTGCCATTCCAGGAATCATAGCAATTACTGAAATAAGAGGTATAGTCTATGGTTTACGGACTTGAATTTAGTGAGTAAATCTTTCTAGTTCCTCTGGAATTGAGCCTTTTTTTTTGTTAGATTTGGAAAAAAAAAAAAAACCATGGTAACTGATCTGGATGACATCGAATGGCTGGTAACAGTTGAAAAACAGACTTTTAACAGCTCGTGGGTAATGTCTGAAAGGTAAAATGATGCTGATTAATGTCTGTATTCTACTCTGAAAATAGCAAAAGCCATATGGAACCAAGAGTTAATTGACTTGTAAATTTAATCCCATTCTCTGTTGGCGCAGTGGCACATGCCTATAATCCCAGCAGTTTGGAAGGCCAAGGCCAGCAGATCACCTGAGGTCAGGAGTTTGAGACCAGCCTGACCAACATGGAAAAACCCTGCCTCTACTAAAAATACAAAATTAGCCGGTGTGGTGATGCATGCCTGTAATCCCAGCTACTCGGGAGGCTGAGGCAGGAGAATCCCTTGAACCAGGGAGATGGAGGTTGTGGTGAGCTGAGATCATGCCATTGCACTCCAGCTTGGGCAGCAGGAGTGAAACTCTGTCTCCAAAATAATAATAATAATAATAATTTAATCCCAGTTGATAATTCCGTGACATAATGAAAATTGTAACTGTGATTTCTTTTTGTGCAAGTAATACTGAGAATGGAAAATAATGAAGATAATGCTTTGAAGGTTGTACACGAGGATTAAATTTTGTATAAAATTTCTGTGTGTGTGTATTTGTGTTTAAAAAATCTTAATATGCACTGAAAAGAGAATTATGGAAGTTTTTCTGGATAATTGAGTGTCCAGAAATACTAATTTGATAGCTATTTATAAGTGTGAAACAATTATGTTGTCTTATTCTCTAGTTTAAAGGAAAAACGTAAATTTCTAAAATATTTCTATAATAGAATAATTTAACCTTAGATTTTGTCACATTAATAGTCATTTAGTAATAGAAAGACTTTTAAGATGAAAAGTTTTAGGTACTTTAAAAGGACTGATGTAAGCGTTATCTGAAAACAATTATAATTTAAACTTGGAAGCTAAATACTTAAAATGTAAAGTCTGATCTCATCAAACATAAAGTAGGAAAAAAATATGTATATGGTTATTTTTGATACTTAATAGGAGTGAACCTTGTACCAATTGTGGTTTATTGTCCCTTCTGCTTGTTATAGAGCTTGGAATATAATTGGTTCTACAACTTTTGATTTTAACATTTTATTGAAACTAAATTGATGCTTTGAATAAAAGAAACCTCGACACTTCCTGTGTAGAGTCACAAATTGTATTTTCCGGTACTGAGAGGTTTTAAACAGAATTTGAAAGATTTCTAGTAAAGGTAATAAATTTTGTTTTTAGAAAAATTGCAAAATGGAAATTTGGATGAATGAAAGCCAAGGAGACTTCTGCTTTTTTTGTTTGTTTTTTCTTTTTTTTTGGTAGAGACAAGGACTTGCTCTGACATCCAGGCTGGAGTGCGGTGGTGTGGTCATAGCTCACTGCAGCCTCAAACTCCTGCAGTCAAGCAATTTTCCTGCCTCAGCCGCCTGAGCATTGAGCATGTGCCACACACCTGGCTTTTTTTTTTTTTTTTTTTTTTTTTGGAGACGAGGTCTCACTGTGTTTCCCAGGCTAATCTCAAAACTCCTGGACTCAAGTGATGCTCCTGCCTCAGCCTCCCAAAGCACTGGGATGATGACAGGCATGAGCCTGTCATCAGCTAACTGGTTTCGTTTTAAAGAAGATAGTGCGGCAAATTTAACAGATTGAGAATTAAAATAAGAAAAACATATATATATTTTATTCTTTTCTTTGGTCTTTTCATACTTGAAGTTTATCACTTGAAGATAAACTTTGAAGTGTATCACTTGTTTTCTCCATTATAGTCACATATGTAAACAGTAAATTCTTTGTTTGAAAGTTTAATGTTGACAATTAGATTTCTGATAATAGTACATGAGGATATTCATACTGACATTCCAAATGACAAGTATTGTTAACAGCCTGTCTTGGTTCATTTCTAAAGAATTTGAACTTTTTCAACCTTTTAAAATTTGGGACTCACTTATATTTGACCCTCAGGTAAGCAGAGTAAACATCAGGGACCCAGATCTGATCGTTTTTGGCCATTCAGTTTTTGAAGTAGGCCTCATTAAAGCCTGAAAAAGTCACAGATATCTTCTTGGATTGTTTTTTGTTGCTGTTTTTGAGATGGAGTCTTGATCTGTCCCCCGACTGGAGTGCAGTGGTAAGAGGTGGAGACCTCCCAGGTTCAAGCAATTCTTGTACCTCAACCTTCTAAGTAGCTGGGACTACAGGCATGCACCTGGCTAATTTTTGTATTTTTTTCAGTAGGGACGGGGTTTTGCGATGTTGGCCAGGCTGGTCTCGAACTCCTGACCTTAGGTGATCTGCCCACCTCAGCCTCCCAGTATGCTGATATTACAGGTGTGAGCTACCATACCCAGCCTTGAATTGTTTAATTGATCAGCTTATGACAAATGACAGGCCATACACTGATGTTAATAATTTAGTTGATTTAAATGAACCTACAAGTTCTTCTAATTTGGGCAAGACCACTTGCAAATAAATTGCTGTGTTTCAAACTAGCTGTGATAGCTGCTGATTTTACCATGGGAGTAGATACTTCAACTCTGGTTATTATTTACTGAAAAGCCCTTTTAATCAAAAATTAAGCTTAATTCTTTTTTTAAATTAAAAATGAATATTTGCTTTATAACACTCTCTACTTGGCAGAGTTTCAGATTCAGGTAAACAATTGATACTGTTTTCCTTTTAGACACTAGTAGTCTAAATAAAGACTCAGGGAAAAAATCAAAATCAAGCTATGGGATGTGAAATACTGCAATGACATGGAATATCACTTTCTGAAATTTTTACCTTTTACTTTTAAGATAGAGATACAGATATCACCATGAAGGGGAACGTGGATGACTTTGGCCTGCGAGATACCTTGAGCATCGCATCCACGGATTCCTTTGCTTCAGCAGCAGAGGTAGGACGTGTGTTTTCCTAATGAGGATTTCTGTTCCTTTTTTGGTGGAAAGATTAGTCTTGTCATTATACTGTAATTCAGTTTAGTCACTATTTAGCATCTGCCATGTGGTAGGTACCAGGATATAAAAATGAATAAATCTAATATGAAAATAAGCTCCTACAGGAGCTTACAGTCTTCTTAAGGAGATGGACCTGTAAACACATGGTTTAAATAGGCACTTTCATATACTGTAGATTATAGGTGAGGCATATAAATTAGTATGTTAATGGAAGGAAACTTTTCAGCTTATATCAAGAGTCTTAAAGATGTTCAGTTTCTTTTTTCTTTTTTTTTTTTAGGACAATGTTCAGTTTCTTTAGTTCAGAAATCATACTTCTAGATTTTTGTTCTAAGAAAGCGATCAAAGATTATATATATATAAATATTGACTGTTGGCCAGGTGCAGTGGCTCATGCCTGTAGTCCTGTGCTTTGAGAGGCTGAGGTGTAAGGATTGCTTGAGCTCAGGAGTTTGAGATCAGCCTGGGCAACATAGTGAGACCTTGTCTCTACAAAAAATTTAAAAAATTAACCAGATGTGATGGTGAGTAGCCTGTAGTTCTGGTAACTCAGGAAGCTGAGGTGCGAGGATCCCTTAAGCCCAAGAGGTTGAGACTGCAGTGGGCCATGATTGTGCCACTGCACTCCAGACTGGGTGACAGAGCAAGGCACTGTCTCAAAAAAATAATTAAAAATACACACACACACACACACAAACAAATTCACTGTGGCTGATAGTAACAATGAAAAACTGAAAAAACAATCTAATGCCAAATTATGGTATATTTGTAATTAGAAATAGAGAGCTATAAACATGGTTCCAATAATTTTAATGACATGAGGGAACATAAGTGAAAAGAGTAGTATGTAAAGTATATAGATTGTATGATTATAATTTTGTAAAATGGAAACAAAAACGTGCATGATATATAAGAATATAGGCAGAGAAAAAAGGCTAGCTATAAATAAACGGTAGTGATAACTGAATTATAAATCTGTGGGTAATTTGTTTTTCACTGAGATTTAAATTTTGTACTGAAAGAGACTGCTTGCAAAGAGATCATCTTTTGTTTTTATTTTTATATTAAAACAGCTTTAAAAATTACATGTGGCCAATTTTATCTCAGAATATTTGCATTTTTACAGTAGATTTTGATATTATAATTTTAGGTGCTCTTTTTTTAATATATATAAATAGTATATGCATCTAGCTGGGCATGGTGACTTATGCCTGTTATCCAAGAACTTTGGGAGGCGGAGGGGGGCAGATCACCTGAGGTTAGGAGATTGAGACCAGCCTGGTCAACCTGCTGAAATCCCGTCCCTACTAAAAATTCAAAAAGTAGCAGGGTATGGTGGTGCATATAATCACAGTTACTCAGGAGGCTGAGGCACAAGAATCTCTTGAACCTGGGAGGTGGAGGTTGCAGTATGCCAAGATTATACCACTGCACTCCAGCCTGGACAACAGGCTGTCACACACACACACACACAAGAATAGTATTACACATCTGTAACTGATATGTGAATTTTATCTCTAGGGCGGAAGCTTTAGATACTCCAGTACCTGTACCTTAAACCTTGATTCTGCCTTTTTAAAAGCAGTACTGATTCATATCTTTTATCCTCCCAAGGTTTTTCTGTATGTGTATATTTCAGCCATCACTTACAGTATCATTTTCTAATTGTTTACATTGAAAAAAATATTTTTCCACCTATAAGTTTTCAGTAGATAGAATATATCTACTTGTTCAATGGGAAAGCTGTTTCCTCTTCCTTGTACTGTTTATTATATACATGTTTATTTTTCTGTTCTGTAGATGCTACATCCTAGATGGTTTGTAAGGAGAAAAATTGCTATACACTTTGCCCTTTTTTCCATTGTTAGAACAGTGTACCTAATTGCTCTGAAGTTTTTTTTTCTAATATGCAACTTTCAAAAATATTTTGCTAAATGTTCATTATATTCACTTTAAATTTATTGTTTAATAAGATTTAATAAAAATTATTAAATACTTGTGGGAAACAAAATGTATAAATACACACAAACAGGACTCAATATTCAAGAAATATCCTCTTAGAATGCTTCCATGGTATAAATGTATGGTCTCAGAATGTGAATGTTCCAAGATAAATTCTTTTATAAGAAATGTTTGTTGCCAGGCACAGTGACTCATGCCTATAATCCCAGCACTTTGGGAGGCCGAGGCGGGTGGATTGCTTGAGGTCAGGAGTTCGAGACCAGCCTGGCCAACATGGTGAAACCCCGTCTAAAAAAAAAAAGAAAGAAAGAAAAGAAATGTTTGTTAAATTATTTTTAACTATGTGCCAAGCTCTTAAAGTTAAATTAGGGAAAAGTGTTTTCTTTTCTTTCTTTTCTTTTTTTTTTTGAGATTGAGTATTGCTCAGTCACCCAGGCTGTAGTGCAGTGGCACAATCTTGGCTTATGACATCCTCCGCCATCTGGGTTCAAATGATTCCCCTGCCTCAGCCTCCTGAGTAGCTGGGACTACAGGCACATGCCACCACACCCGGCTAATTTTTTTTTCTTTTGTATTTTAATAGAGATGGGGTTTCACTGTGTTGTTCAGGATGGTCTCGATCTCCTGACCTCATGATCTGCCCGCCTTGGCTTCCCAAAGTGCTGGGATTACAGGTGTGAGCCACCGCTCCCGGCTGGAAAACTGTTGTTGTTGTTGTTGTTGTTGTTTTTGAGACGGAGTTTCGCTCTTGTTACCCAGGCTGGAGTGCGATGGCGCGATCTCGGCTCACCGCAACCTCCGCCTGCTGGGTTCAGGCAATTCTCCTGCCTCAGCCTCCCGAGTAGCTGGGATTACAGGCATGCGCCACTATGCCCAGCTAATTTTTTGTATTTTTAGTAGAGACGAGGTTTCACCATGTTGACCAGGATGGTCTTGATCTCGTGACCTCGTGATCCACCCGCCTCGGCCTCCCAAAGTGCTGGGATTACAGGCATGAGCCACCGCGCCTGGCTGGAAAACTGTTTTAATGAAGAAAGTTACTGAGTTAATAAAATCAGAACTTTTGGGGAAGTTAAACAGTTTTTGATCATTCGAAACCCTTTTCAGTATTACAAGAAAGATTTCTTGCCTAGTTAGATCAAAAGAAGTTCTGGAATAGGTTTTTCTGTAAGCTAGATCAATTATTTGTGAAAGTGATTAACAAGATTTTCCTATATAAGCTTTGCCAAACATTGGTTTGGAACCACAGATGAAAAATGTTTTTTTTTTTTTTAATTTTAGGTTTCTTGACATGTAATTCACATGCCATAAAATTCGCCCTTTTAAAGTATAGAGTTCAGTGGTTTTTTAGTATGTTTATATATAGTTACACAGCCAACACTACTTTCTAATTTCAGAACATTTTTATTACTCTAAAAACAAACCCTTACCTATTAGCAGTCACTCTCCAGCTCCCTTTACCCCTCAGCTGTTGGCACCCAATAACGTACCTTCTGACCATGAATTTCCCTTATTCTGGACATTTCTTCTAAGTGGAATCATACCATGTCATATGTTGTATTTGGCTTTTCTTCACTTAGCATAACGTTTTCTTTCAAGTTCTGAAAAGTCTTTTTAATGTTAGAATACCTTCACATTTTACTCCTAATCTTTCCATCTTATAAAGATATTATCATTTAATAGGTAGAAACTAATATTACAGAGAGCAGTTTTTAGCTATAGATTCCATTTTTTAAAGAATTACCCCTCTGCAATGTGTACATGTGTTTAACAGAGAAATCAGAAGCTTCTCTATAAAAAGAAAATTTTATTTTAAAAAGTATTTTTTTAAATAGTGGTGGAGTCTTGCTATGTTGCCCAGGCTGGTCTCAAACTCCTGAGCTCAAGCAGTCCTCCCACATCAGCCTCCCAAAGTCCTGGGATTACAGGCGTGAGCCACTGTGTCTAGCTGAAAATTTTATTTTTTATAATTTAGATATCTCTACTTGTACTCTAAATGGAACCTTAAAAATCTTTTGCTATATCCACCTCTCTGATTTGACAGGTCTTATTTATAGCAATCCAAAAAATACACCAATAATAATATACAAAGCAATAAAGATAAATATTTAGGATAATTATAACCTAAAAAGGGAGGGAGGGCTATATCTTATCATTTAAAATTTTTCCTCTATGAAAGTATGAAGGCATGTCTGGGCATGGTGGCTCACGCCTGTAATCTTAGCACTTTGGGAGGCCAAGGTGGGCAGATCACCTGAGGTCAGGAGTTTGAGACTAGCCTGGCCAAAAATAGTGAAACCCCATCCCTATTAAAAATACAAAAATCAGCCAGCATGGTGTGTGCCTGTAATCCCAGCTAGTCAGGAACCTGAGGCAGAAGAATCGCTTGAACCTGGGAGATGGAGGTTGCGGTGAGCCAAAATCATGCCACTGTACTCCAGACTGGGCAATAGAGTGAGACTTTGTTGCAAAAAAAAAAATTTAAAAAAAGGTATGAAGTCTTGATTGGGACTGAAAGAGCTATTCCCAAGATAACTCACTCCGACGAATAGAAAGTTGGTATTATCCATTGACAGAAGACCTAAGTTTCTCACCACATTGACTTTCCTATAGGACTATTTGAGTATCTTTACAACATGACACCTGGCTTCCCGAAGAGGGAGTAACCAAGAGAGGGCAGGGTGGAAGTCATGACTGTTTTGACCTATCCTCAGAAATCTCAGGTTAGCCTTATTCAGTGTGGGATGGGGTGTGAGTAGCCAGGGTGAAAGAATCATTGAAGACCAATTTAGAGGGTGGCTGTTCTAAATTCCTATTTTCTGTTAGGGGATATAGATGGGCAACAGCCTGCTTTAACTGTAAGTCTTATTTATAATTTTAGGTGATTGATTTGAAAGGAAAATGTAAACATATATGAAATGGTCCGCTTTAAAATAGAACTTAGCCTGTTTCATGTCCCTACTTGCAATAATCTTGA